AAATTATTATGATTATATTCATTATTAGCATTTACATTAATAATAATAACTTTTATAATAGATCAATATTTACCTCTCTTAAAACATCTAAAATTTGATCATGGAAATTATATAACTTTTTTAATACAATCATCCTATTTTCAGTAATCCATATTGCTTTGTGTACTTCCCCAAAACCACCTTTAGCCAAGTATTCAATGTTTTTAAATTCATTGAATGGAATCCATTTCATATAATTACTATTGCCTGCATTTTGTTTACATTCATCAAGAAATATAATTATTTTTTTATTTCCAATTTTTTTTGCTTGACAACTATCACATAATACCATTCCATCTATTTTGTAATGTAAATTATTTAATTCATCACTTAATTTATGGATTATTTCTGCTTTCCTATCTTCATTTTCTTCCTTGTATAATTCCTCCAAGTCCTTTTTTAGTTTGTTTAATAAATAAAATAAACAATATCTTTGTGCACAACTGGTACAATCTTTTATTATTTTTAATGTGTCAAGTAATTGATTTGAATTAATTGATGCATTTGATTCATTTAGTTTAGTGAGTAATTCACATAATGGGTTGAATATATTCTTCTTTTGACACCCATCACATAATACTATATTTATTTTAACATTTAATTTATTTAATTCATCATTTAATTTATGGATTACTTCTGCTTTCCTATCTTCATTTTCTTCCTTTATTAATTCTTCTGAAATCTTTTTTAGTTTGTTTAATTTACAAAATAAATAATAATAATAATATCTTTGTGCAATCTTCTATTATTTTTAATGTGTCAAGTAATTTGTTTGAAATAATTGATTCATTTGATTCATTTAGTTTGGTGAGTAATTCATATAATGGATCAAATTTATTCTTCTTTTGGCATCCATCACATAATAATATATTTATTTCATAATCTAATTTATTTAATTCATCACTTAATTTATGGATTATTTCTGTTTCCCTATCTTCATTTTTTTCCTTGTCTAATTCTTCTGAAATCTTTTTTAATTTGTTTAATGATTCATAAAATGAACCAAAATAATTTTTTTGTATATTTACTTTACAATTGATACAATTTTCTATTATTTTTAATGTGTTGAGTAATTTGTTTGAA